CCCTCTTACTCCCTTTCAGTCCTCCAAGAAACTACTTAAAACCACAAATCAGGAAAACCCAATTGAAGCAATCCTTGCTCGTCATACAAGTATAGCCGATACCCGTCATCTCCCTCCAGTTCAATAGGATTCAGCAGCTGATACAATAAATCCGATGGACTACCACACTGCAATTGATCAGAGACACCTAATTGATCGTACTCATTCTTCAGTCTTGGCCCAGGAGTATTTGGACCCAGCATCCCCAATAGCTTCTCCATATTAAACAGTTCTTCCAATGAAAAGTTCTGCACATCATCAAAAATGATTGCATCCACTCTCACTGAACTGAGTCAACTGAACTGATCAGGATTCATGGGTTCCACAGGCTGCTCTTCCTTCGGCTCTTGCTTAACTATATTCATTGGTGCTGCCCAGCTGCTTCCATTGCAGTACAAGGCTGACTGTAAATCCCCAACTCACACTACTCTGGCTTAGGTTCTACCTTCGGGAAATTACCTTCAATTCCTCATCTAAGTAACTTTAGAATAGCTGAATGAAGTGGTAGCTGAGTATGAAGATTGCATCGATGCAGAGCTTTCAGGAAAGTTGAGACGTACACAAAGACCACACATGGCTTTGGTAGCCTCATCGTAAGCTAGAGCATCTTCGAGAGTGGTGGAGAAGGTTCCCAGCCAAAGCCGGCTTCCTCTGTTCGGGTCTCGAATCTCGGCGACCCACTTTCCCATTGTTTGCTGCCTGATGCCTCTGTAGTTGGGCAAAGCCGGCTCCATGGGAATCACTTGTTTTCTGCCTCTACAGTCGTTCTCCCCAACCACCATCACCATTAAGAGGAGAGCTCCATTCGGAAGTTGCAGTGGCCACCGTCACTTGTGACGATGATACCAAAATTGTCACCACCACTGCAACTTCCAACAGCGGCCATGAACAATAAGGGTATTTTAGGAATTATAAAATAATCAACACTCACGTGATGTCACATGTGAACTGAGTGCAACGAAAAATTAATGGCAATGGAGGTTTTAGACAATTGTCAGAAAACTTAAGGATAACTTGAGACAAAATCTAAACAATAAGGATACGGTTTGTCGATTTCGTGAACAGCAAGGGTAGTTTAAGAGATTTACCCTAAAAATTTTAACATTTGGCTTCTTTAATTTTTGGTACCAATACCAGACTTGCTTGACAGTTTCAATTCCTCCAAAAGATATGAACTCCTGATTCCCAGTAATTTCCTAGGTTTTCATTCCTATAGAAGCCTATCTGCTAATTCCTTTATTATTTTATCTGCTCTTCTATTTTTCAAATTTAAAATGTTCATCCTGCATCAGATTGGTAAGAAAGAGTATAAACCATTAGAAGGATCAAAGATGCCCTCTTCTTAAAACTTTCAGATTTTGTGGATAATATTAAGCAATAGTGGACTCACATGGAAATTATTCAAACTGGTTATACTGCAAATGTAGCTTCCACCGAGGGTGAGAATGAAAAGGAAAAGCAGATCATTGATGAAGGAAGCTTTTCATCTTCTCAAAGAAAAATCCAGACACCATCTCTTTGTCATTGAAAATCTCAGTGAAGAAGTTTGGAGACTATGTAGCAACGCAGATACAAGCCATTTTTTATTATATGGGATATATTAACTGATAAAACATATAAGAAATACAGGGGATGTTAATAAATGGAAACATATAGAAGTTCCAAATTTTGGAGGTAAATTAGATTCCAAGCATTTCATGGTTGACTTGTAGCTATTTATGATTATTTTGAATGGTTAAACTTGTTTTATGAGAGATGACTTCTGCTCACCTTTCTTGTATTCCCTTTTTTCTCTTAATAAACTTTATTTTATTGTCAAAGAAAAAAAAAAAAACTAAGCTCATAAGTCTCAGAACATGCTAGAATCTGAAGTGTAGAGAATCATATCAAACACAAAAGACAAACTCCATGGCTATGATCATGCTTCATCAAAGAATTCAAGCATGTGTGGAGAGTCATACAAAATATGAATTTCATTAAAGAAAAACCCTGTACAACTAGAGGCTGTAACAGGGAGAGTCATACAAAAACTAATCCACTATCCCATCAGCATTAACAAAAGGATTTAAAAAATAAAAAAAAAAGAACTAAACTCTGAAGTCTGAACTGCTTAAGTTAAACCGAGCTGACGACCAAGAAAGCAGTTGGTCCACAATTTTTTGCCAAACACCCTCCTCTTGACTGCCTTTGGAGAATACTCTTGTTGTCAGGTCACAGAAAGATGAACAATTGACTTTTTTTTCTTTTCCCTTCTTTCCTTCTTTTTTTCTTCTGATTCTTAACAATAAGAACTTTTATGGATGGAGGAACTCAAAAACAGAGAGCACAAAAGGAAGAAAAAAGAGCAAAACCCTCAGGTTGATAAAAGCACCAGGCTTCCCATCCACCATCAGAAATCAGAAAGAAAAAGAAAAAGAAAAATAAACTCTAGCCTGGTAGGATAGTGTACCAAAATAAACCACTCACTGTAACACCTCCCCTATCTAGTATGTCAGCTAGATTATTGGCAGATCTCGTGATCCAACAGAATGAGATGTTCCAACCAGTAGCCAATTATCTAACCTAAAGCTTAATTCCTCCATCCCTTAACTAGCCAATATGAGGGTGTTTGGTTCCGTTTACATTTATGGGTGGCCATTTACTTGTGCTTTTTCACTTTAAACATTTATTTATACTTTTTCACTTTAAACGTTTTTTATTTTAAATGTTTTCTATTTTTGTTATTTGATTGGGATTTTCTTCAAACGTTTTTTATTCTCCACCTCAGATTAATACCCATTAAAGTGTAACACATCAGCATTTGGTTTCAAGAAACGCTGGGGCGTTGAGGGAAACAAGAATTTGGCGTTGCCCCAAATGCCCCATGCACAAAAATCAAAGTGTTTCGGTTTTTTACTGTTTATTTGATAAACGGTGAAACCAAACATTTGTTTCATTTTGCTTCGTATGCAATACACCAATGCCTATGTGGTGTTTTTTCAATAAACGCCAACGAAACCAAACACATACTATATAGTTGCAAGTCCCCCTTTATTCCCACCCTGGAGTAACCTAGGGCACCTACCAGAAAGAAGTCTCTTAATAGTTATAACAGTGTTCCCAAGTAGAATCCTTCAACCCAACTGGTCCAGGGTAAAACCTAAAGAATCCTCCCCTCATGATTTCTTAATACACCACCAATATCTGATGGGCCCAGGGTATAACAGTCCTCTTTCTGTATACACCACCCATCAAATTGATGAATAAAAGAACAATCTATTGCAACTGTCTGTGTTAATACAATACTAACGGACCATTTTTACAATTTATTCTAGTTTGATTCTCAGCGCTACTACACAATAGAGATTATAGAATGACAAGGTATGGAACAAAAGGACCGAAGAAGACTAACTGCAAAATTAACTGAAAAAAAAAAACCAGAAACAAGTTTACAGTGGATTCTATGTTAAGAGAATAGGAATCCTGATATCTTGTTGATAAGATAAAACTACGTTATCATTTCCCCAATAAAAAAGCTGGAGGATCTCAATTCCTCTTTCCAGAGAAGTTTTCATAAGCCAGCAGCAGTTCCAATCAGATGCTACAAGTGCATGGCAATTATTTCATCATCTAAACATTGTCTAATGCCAATTTCCATCACTTCTTCAGAAGAACGAAAAACATCACAGCAATGGCGTCTAGGTGCCTGCAACTAAAATAAAAGGTAAAATAAGACAGCACCATAGCAAAGCAATCATGAATGGAAAATAGAAAAATCAAATGATGCAGGGAAGGAAATGAATTGGGAGCTTCACCTAAAACTTCTATGGTAATACCTGTCCAAGATCAAACTCTAGCTTATGTGAGAAGACTTTGATCTGTTTCAAATTCTGTGAAGCACTTTTCTGCAAGCAATTTCCAACAGTAGCCCTCCTGCTGTAGTTGCTCCATATCACATTGGTATCAATGAAAACACTTTCAAGAAAGAAAATGATAGGTCTTTTACATGGATCTCTGGGAAACTCCCTCATGTTAAACATAAAATGACTTGAATTAACATTACGACTTCTTTTCCATGGCATGAATGTTCTTTGCAATGAAATGAGGTCAGGAAGAAGTTGATTTCCTTCAAAAACTTGTACCGCATAACCCCAAGATACTGAGAGTCTGTGAGTTTGACTGGTCATAGCAAACAGTTTGCTGTAAGATTCTGGCAGGATCCACATTTACAGCCTTAAATAGATGGTCTAAAGCTTGAATCTGGCTTTTATTGGGGAAGATGGGATCCACAGCATCCAAATGATGAAGAGATAGTAGAGGTATTAATGGATGAGCAGAGAGCATTCCAAACAAATTTCCCCGAATATCAACCTACTCAGATGCAAGTTACAATATTCAGCTTCAGTGTATTAATTACCTAAGTTGGAAATAGAGAATCACATATACAAACTCAATGCTAGAATGGTTGTCAGGAAACTCTGACAGTACAAACAATAGGAAATTTTAAATTTCTAATGCATCTTTCATGCTGCAGCCTATTTAACATTTGAATTCATCATGCAAAGCACTTACGAGTTATGAACAGACCGATAAAATCATAAAAAAAAAAAGATTTCAAACATAAGGGCACTTGTGATACACTGATGCTAGATCCACATTGACAAAAATAAACCTCAAACCAAAACCCTCAATCAATTTGACTCATTTGAGATCTATTTGAAATCAAGCCTCATAAATGGGGAGACCACATGTTCAGAAATGACCATAAGCAGAGAAAGATCCAAGCATGCAAGCTGAACATAAGGTAAAAGACATATCCAATGTTGGATTCACAACTATCCTAACCATCATTAGTACAGATTCTGCACTCAACACTTTAAACCAGGCCTAAAATTCAAAATAATGATATCAATCATTACCATCCGCAAATCTAGAAATGCCATTAACTATTAGGGCCAATAGGAAGCCAACAGGTTGCACAGTTCCATAAATAAGATTCTGGTTGTTGTAACATGTACGGCATACATTATACATGCATCAAATAGGGTTGTGCAGGACTTACCAACAGCAATCAAATATAGATTTATTTTGTTCCCAACAACAATTAACATATTAATTAGAAAAAAAAAGAAGAGCACCGCCCTACTCTTCAAAAGATTTAGCGAGTTTGAGACAACACAAAACAAAAATAATTTTTGTTTGGGGCAGAATGGAGAAAAGTGGAAGGGAGAGCTAAGGCAAAGCAGTTTTTGTTTGAGAGCTGTAAAGTGTAGTGATGGGCCATTTACACTTTACAGGTCATCCAACAAGCTGGCCAAAAAATATTATGGGCCATTTACAGTCCTCGAGCGCATTGGCACGGTGGCATATCGCTTCGATTTACCTGCTGATTCTAAAATCCACTCCGTCTTTCATATCTCGGCGTTAAAGCCCTTACGGGGCGAAGAAGTCGGTGCTCCACTTGCATTGCCTCAAGACGCAGTGGACAATAGACCGGTCTCAGTACCAGTGGCAATTTGTGCAACGCGGCAGGTTCTCAAACATGGAAAGGTTGAAACTCAAGTACTTGTATAGTGGAGTGATGGGTCACCCGACGATGCTACCTAGGAAGCACTTGCGGAAATTAAGCAGCTATATCTGAATCTACACCTTGAGGACAAGGTGGTGCTACAAGGGGAGGAGAATGATATACCAACAATTCCGGAAAATATCAATCAAGATGAGCACAAAGTTAGACGTTCCACCCGAGTAAGGAAAGCGGCACATTGGATGGATGATAATTACATCTACAAATAAAGGAAAT